AGTATATTGTCATATTTGTGGATTGTCCTATGGACAAATAAATAGAAGCTCCTATTTGCAAGGCTGGTAAATCTTTTACTTAACAATAAAATTTAGTTTAAAAGGAAACTCGGAGCAATACTAAATTCTGAAATTTTCACTGGTAGTAAATTCAGGGCTTTGCACAGTGGCTCCACTTCACTTGATCTCAAAGGTACAGTCCAGCTTATAAAATAAATTTCTTTACTGCCCACATCATTCTTAGTGAGAAAATGAGGCCCAATTCATTTTTAATCCATAGCCTCAAATTGGTGTTAAAATGTCTATGAAGAGAATATTATCCTCACGCATCTTTTCTTCTCTCTTAGAAATGATACCTTTTACACAGTAATTGATACACATTTCCACTCAATAAAACAATTGCCAATGTCATCTCTTAAAATACCCATAGATTTACCTTTTAATCTAAAAAACATTTCTTAATTGCAGATTTTATTGTAAGCACTACATATACGTACAGACTAAACTAAAAATAAATACTTGCCTTTATTATGTATGTATTTATTTCTTGAATGGTCTGAAGGATTGAGTCATTTATTTCACAAAGTTTCCTTTTTAAAAGACTAATCAAGTTTATAAGTGTGAACCACCTCCTCTAAATGAATTCTTGTTGTCTAGGTGTATTCTATAGTCCCTTAGCTCTGTCAAGCTAGAATACAGAGGAATACTGTTTTATGAAAGGAAAAAAGGAAGTGTAACGTGTGCAAATTATGAAATAAATATAAGAACTCAAGTTTATGGTTCCCTAAGCTATTATTATTATTAGACAGAAAGAAAATACATATTATACTAACAGAAGACTTTCAATTTTTATAATTCATAATAAATTATGCATAATGGCATATACACATATTTTTAATTTAAAATATTTTCATGGAGGAAAATATTTACAATATGAACAATACACAGTTATGTTTTTAAAAAGTAAAAGCAAATTTAAGTGTGTTCAAGTGAGAAGATAAAGAACCAGCAGGGACCCACATTTTATAGTTAACACTACTACACTCATTTCTGGACTTTAGGGTTAAACAGAAAAAAAATCATTATAGATATTTTTAAAGAGAATCCCCCAAAATGGTTGAAGGGTTGAAGGATAAGATAGAAGAAAGTTAAAATAATTGATTATTCAACTGGACAGATCTCTAATGGAGGCTTGCTTTTAAACGATCTTTCAGTTTATGCTATGCTCTTACACAGGGAACAAAGAGCAGATGTTTCTGATTTCTTCAAGAGGTAATGGGCTTAAACTTGTATCTAGATTCACTTTAAATATAAAGAAGTGTCCTGACTGTGAGGCTCATGAAACATTTGAGTGAGCTCTGGAGTTGGTTGCTGATCTCAGCCTCGGAAGTTTTTCAGTGTAGTGGGGAGTCTTAATTATATGAGATGTTTGAAGGCTCTTCTTTCTTTCTGTTGCAGAAATAGATTAGATTATTTCACAAGGTTTATTTACTGTTTTTGTTTCTGTGGTGTTTACTGCCATAAAATATAAAAGGTATTTTTCATCCTACTATCTATGCAAGTAGAAGAATTTGAATATTCAAATTATTAAATTGCTATTTTAATATACAAAGTTATTTTCACCTGGTTATTATTATACTATTATACATGGTATAAGCAGGCTATCAGTTCTGATTTTTTTGTACTCTTACAGTCATTATTCTTAAGTTGTTAATCAGAATTTTTTAATGTTCACAATTAAATATTGTATTTCATAAATTACTAAAGGCAATAACAGGATTCCATAATATAAAGGAAAATGTGCATCATAGAACTTTCATTAAAATTATATATATATGCTAAATATATACATGCATATATATATGTTAAGTATATATGGACATATATAAGCTAAATTCTAAGAAGGCAGATACTTGAATATCTGTTTTCCATTAGGACTGTTTTTTCATCTGTAGTTCAGACAGTAGGATAAATATCTTAAACGTAACATATCTATGACTCACTATGAAGAATAAACATAATGAAGGAAGAAATAGAGGCAAAAAGGAATACTAACAACCCTTTTCCTATAACTTTTGATTTGACTGAAAAGAAAATCTTTCATTCATATCAAGTGACCAATTCCCTACACGTGCTGATGAATAGGTAGGGCAAAAAAATGCATTTGTGAAATGAAAAAAAAAAGTAGAAATTCTCCAAGTATGCTTAGAAAATTCTAAAATATATATAAAGTACATCAGAAAGCATAGATATTCAATGTATTTGACCCATTCTCTCCAGCCTGAAAAGCTTCACAAAAGCATAGCAATAATAGTTAGCACTATGGAATAACTCCTCGGCACTGACTAAAATGTAAGAATATTGCTTTTTAAAAAAAATAGCATTTGTGTGTTTACTTATCTAACATTAACATACACAGCTCCCAAAGGATAATGATTATGAAGTATTCAAATTCACCTCTTAAAAGCTTTGAAATAAAATGTATGTGACTGTAATTTTAGCAATAATATAGTATTCCATTTTCTCTAGTTCATCTGGTGATACTTAACATTTGGGAAATTAATTTCTGAAATGGAGGAAATCATCCCTCCCTATTCTAATTTGTTCTGACCTTTAACCTCAGCCCTTAAACTTGTCCTATTCAGATTTGCTTTCCTGAAATAACATATAGATGGGAGGAGATAAATTTACTGAAAGGTGATTATATTATTCATACAACTACTGAAATAAGTGTGCTTTAAATAAAAGCAGCACACATACAATTGTAAGCAGTAAAGTATGCCTTTTAAGCTTATCTAATATTTAAGGTATTGAATATAATTGTGCTAAACTTCTGTGTTCTTGCACCTGTGAACCATTTAATGCCACAATTTCTTTTTATATTCTGATGAAATCAAATGAACATATAATATCTATGCTAATAGATTTTCCTTCAAGTAGTCTTTTAACATAATTAGAAATATTTTACTGATTTAAACATGTGTTAGGCTGATTTCTGCATTAGACTAAGATGTAGCTTCTCAGTGTCTTCATTTTTTTCACATAATGAATTAATTTATAGGCGAGTATAGGTCATTCCTGAGTTTCTTTTTTACCTGAATTACTAGAATGTATTTCCTATAAATCAGTATTTTATGATTGATAGCATGTAAAGAAAAAACTTCATCCTGTAAATAATATCTCCAATTTCCTTTGAAAAAGAAAAGTTATATTATTTGTAGGTTGATCAGATTTCCTGGGTTGTCCAGGGTAGAACCAGATGATGTCTTGAGTAACTATTACTAGGGCTTCTTTTCACACAGTTGTTTAATTTGAATAATAAGTTATTTGATTACTGTAACAATTTGTTCCAATTCATTTTGTAAACATTAATTTTTATGGCAGCTATTATAATTTATTGCAGAATTCTAAATTCTGGTTGGCATAAACAAAACGTCTTTGAATCATTTATACTTTAGTTTACCATGAAACGGAATTTGAATACAAGGGCATAGGAAAATAAGATTTGATTATTTTCAAAGAGCAAATTTTCTATTCGCTAAAGAATATTCTTCATAGCATTGTGACTAGGTAAGTCATAATAGCTACTATGTAGTCCTACGTTGTAGCTAACTCAATTTATAATTCATTATATTGTATATTACAAAACAAAATGTTTTCATTATTTTCAATCTTGTTACTACATATCTTATATAAATATATATTCAATGTATATATATATATTAATTTTCACTTTAATTTCTGCCAAAGGTAATGCCTGAGTTTTATAATTTTATAATTATTAATTGATGCACAATTTGTAATTTTAATTGATGTCTCTCTGCTAGAAGGTGAACCACTAGCTTGATGGTCTTGTGAGAAATTCAGTTTCTGAGGAAAAATAAATGAGAGAATCAGAGAAAATAAACTAAGAAAAACATATGAGAGATAATCTACTTGATTCAGAGTATAAATACCACGGAAACAGTATTACACAACGTTTTCACATTTGTGTAAAAAAACAAAATAAAACAAAACAACGGATATTCACCAGATTGAAGGAACTCTATTATCCTTAGTACAGTTGTTAATTTTTAATGTGATGATATATATGTGATTTTTATCACAGTTGCGCTCTCTTACTACATGTTTATTATACATCTATTTATGCCAGATACCCACCTCGGGGATGCCGTTTCTGTTCTCATTGTAATTACCATAGAAATTACAAAAATTATGGATGGGTGAGAAGAAGTAACCATTATCACTATAAATAAATAAAATGCTTAAAATCATAAAATCTGAATGATTATCTTTGAACATTGTACTTCATAATTCAATATATTTTATAAGAATAGACCAAATTCAGTAATATCTTTTTCTCCCCTCCACCTTTACCCTCTTTATGAGAGAACAGTTCCCTTTAAGGGGTAAATTTACATTGTTTTTTATTTTGCAGGCCATAAAAATTTATTTTTTATATAATTTGAAATTGGGATAAAATAAGCCTAAAACATATGAATTGTCCTTTAATTTCTTAACTGCATAAATCCTTTCTGCTGTATATGTTTTTATTATATATTGATTTCACATATATAACTTTTAAGATTATTAAATTAAATATATACTGTTATTCATAGATATTCTAAAGACTTGTTCTAGAAATGTAAAGGGCCACACATATTTCTCCATACTCTGATCATACATACATAATGAAGTGGACACATTGTTTTGTATGTAAACTTAAAAAGTTGATCTCCATAAAATTGGTGGTTGATATGTAAAGTATACATTTCCCATGCAAAATCAGTTTTTGAAAGTGTCAAAACTGTCATTTTCAGAAAGCCAAACAACAGAATGACTGGGACTATTAGAAATCAAGGTAACACTGAAATATTTTGACGCTGGTATGGGAATACAACTTGTTTCCAGTTATTTTTTATTCTCTTACAGTTTGTACAATTCTAAACTCCAAAACTCAAGCTCTATTTCTTAAGAGTATTTTTCTTTCTTTTTCACAGCACGGAAAAGGATATGCTAGTCAATTCTACAGGACTTAACCTGAAGCAGCATGATTTGCACAAAGTCGACCAACAAAAGCATCAACTTTTCAACTTCATTATCTTGGCCATCCAGTTAGTCGTGTGTACCTGAGTATTAGACCGCCGGAGTCACCATGGCCAGTTATGGGACCTAATTGCTCTCAGCAGGCCTGAGAAATGAGTTGAAAGTGCAGAACTGTAGAAACTTTAGAGGCAACTGATTTTGCCTCTCCGATCAGTGTGTGCCTGTTTACAGCACTATATATCTTTCTCTCTCCAAATGTCACTGAGCCCTTTAGATGTTTATATTCACCACGAGAAGCCAGTCATAAAGATAAAGGAAATTTGTGCATTATAAATGCAATATCACTGTTTTAAAATTGACTGTTTTATATTATTTTTGTGTGATCAAGTGTTCCCCAAACTATTCTAACTTTACAACAGAGATTGTGATTCTGTTCTTTTCACCTGTGGGTTATAAAAAATGTTGTATTCTGAAGACCCACAAAATATCAAAGACATTCTGTAGTTTATACACCGTGTGGCAAAGTGTTTACTGTACTATTTCAAAGCTTCTAAATAAATATAAAATATATATATATTATATTATATAATTTTCCTAAAATATGGTACAACTCAGTTGGTTTTTAAATGGATTCATATGGTCCACATCATACAATAAAATAAAAGGCAATTCAGGGTCCCAAAGTTAAACTTACTAAGAAAAAGTAATCATTAATAGTTTCCTCCCAATTTTCATATTTTATTCAATCCTGTTTTTCCTTGTTTAAAAGAAAATGAAGCTCTAAGCTACAAAATTTTGTCAAGAACTTCTACTAAATTTTCAATGCCAAAGATATAGCTGTCGATGTTATCAGAGGAGCACCAGACATGTACTATCAAAATATCTAATAATCTAATTATTTCGATTCTATTTCTATGGCTTTGAATTTAGAATCACTTAAAACTTTTATAAAGAATCTATAAATTCACCTGTATTTGTTGTTAGAAACAAATGAACAAACTCTGGGTGTCTGTACATTTTGTGGTGTAAAATATGTAATTGAAATTACTATTTTAAGAAGTCCTCGATCATATAACTCACACAGAATTTTATTTTACATAGTTTTATGTAGTTTTGTGACTCAGTAACACATGAATATAAAATCTATTTATAACTCTATATGAATATATAGAGATATATAAATATATGATCTGGTAAAGAATAACTAAAAGACATAAAAGATCTCTAAATTTAAAATAAATTTAAAAAATTTGGAGATAGAAACATGGTACATTATTGCTTTAGTATTATCTTACATGTGAAAATTTTATGGCTTAAATGTAGTCAGTGTTTTATTAATGAGAAAATAATCCATGAGTGAGCTTTGAAAAGTTAAGGCTATATTTTATGTCAGCAAGGTTAATGATTAAATTCAGTAAGATGTATTTTCCTTTCTTTTACATAAATTTTTTTTCTACTGTTGTTTAGTGCTTGTTGAAACACAACTAAGAGAAGGAAAAAATCAGAGAATGTGAGATAATCTGAGTAAAAAACAATAGCCACAGCTCTCCTTTGAAAAGGCTTTCACATTACATTTAAATGTTTACCCAATTCAAATTACAGATCTGTTTTGAAATATCTCCCTTAATATTTAACTAATCTTACATCCAGTGATAGTTTGAGTCTTTCTATGTTATAAAACAGCACACTAAAACATAACACATAAATGTTTTTCACCTAAATTTTTTGTCATTTAAATGGGTATATTTTCCTTAGATTTAACATTAAAATACATACATATATTCATGAGTCCTTGATGTGTATATTTTGAGTGATATCTTGGTATTACTCATTTACTTACCAATTATCGTATTTATATGTCATGTAATATGTGTAATGTTCCAATCTTTTGGGGCTCCTTTAAAAATATGTGAAGCTAATCCATCATGTTTGACACAAAAAGCACATACATTCATTAAATACAACAGTAACATTTTCTCAAACTTTTGGCATTACTACATTCATATTTGAAACGATAAATTATTTTTAGTAAGGCGATGTTTTTATGTAATTTAAATGGAAAATGTCTATTTATTTTAATTGCTTTTTGAACAAGAAAATCATTTTCTTGTTGAATCACTGTTTTAATTAAAACCCTTCATTTATCATTTTACAATTATGGGTGAAAATACACATCCATCTGCCTCATTACATGCATTGAAAATAAGGCCATACTCACTTCATATATAATAGCTATATTAATTCATTTGACTTAAATAAATTTTCTTTATTTAGCCCTTAATATCATTGTATATATCTCCCTTGAACAAACTTCTGATATGATATATGTATTAGTTTTTTTATATATCATGGTAGCCAGTTATACTGATTTGCATTTTAATCTTAAATTTTATTATCAATCTACAAAAAGGAAAGAAAGACAAAACTTTTATCTAATTTGTGGGACAGATACAATTATTTAAACATAAAGTATTAACTGGTTTGGTTATTAATATATTCTCTGTTGCATCCAGAAGAAGTCAGAAGTTACAACAGTGTGAATGTATGATTTTAGTAAGTTGGCTAAAAGGGAGACTGAAAAATGGAAAATTGCAACCAACTAAACCTAAAAAGGTTTACAAACATTTATTAGATTAGTATGCAAAAGAATTATAGAATAGCTTTTCTATTTAATGTAGTCATCCTAATATCCAAGCTTTCATAATTTTATACATTTCAAAGAGAAGTAATATTTAAATTATTACTATTTCATCAGGAAATTATTTCCGAAAAGAATAATCATGACATTTACTCCTTGTTAACACGGTTAGTTTTAGAGTAGTAAGAAGTCAAAATATTTTCCTGTGGAAACAGTGTTAATGTTTCAAAGGTATGTCAAACGACAATTTTAGAAATATTTTACCCACATAAAATTCTAATTTTTAACTTGTGAATATAATTTTGTGAAATCATCTTAAATCAAATATTTCAATGCCACATCAGAATTACTTTACAGACAATATCACTTTAAGTGTATCATCTTTCTTGGGAAATATTAAGGAAATAAGTGTTTTATTTTGTGACGATATTAAATGCAATGCCTTTATCAAACATTGCAAATTAAGTACTGTAGTAGAAGACTTAAATATTTTAATTACTTAGTCTCCTGTTTCAGTTCTTACAGTGTAACCATTTGCTCTCAGATCTTCTGTAATGTAAAAACCTCCTGCTTCTCCAATAAGAGGGAAAAGAAATCTAAACAATTCTTGACATAAATTTTAGTAACTGTATATTAACTGTGCCATTTTACCTTCCAAAAGTTATTTACTGGAGTAAAGTTAATCTTTAATACAATTACTCAGAATATTGGAAATGTTAAGCAGGATAAAGAAAATTATTCATGTTACTGACTGATAATGGCATTGTTATTTGTCATCGCATGTGGTTTTCTTCCTTCCCCTCGTATTTCTATGTGTGCTTTTAATACCCAAGGAACTCGAAAGTCCCTAAAACATTGGTATATTTGATAATTTTTCTGAAAATCTTATATTTTTCTTATTCCAATTTCTTGGGTTCTTTATCTTTTTCAACCCTAATTTTATAGTGGTAAAGGCTTTGCACTTAACATCCTTTTTATTTTCCTTTTTAACAAGGAAAAACAGAAAATGACAAAATTCCATATTTTTTATGCCATGGAGTAGTAAAATTATTTTATATATTGTTAGCACTTCAAGGAATATCCCTCTACTAGGTCAAACAAAATCCTTATACAGTACTTTGTGAAACTACCGTTCAATAGTGTTCTTTTTTTTTCTTCTGAAACGGCATAGACTTTAGATTATAACATTCTATGAGAATGCCCAGAGATGGGTGCCGCCAGAGTATTGCAGGCAATAATATGACTAACATTCTAATACCTTTAGTGTGCATGCATGTATTTCTAACCACTGTTATTTTTCAAGTATTTGTAAAATTAGAAGAATCACTCTTATTTCTTGAAAACTTGTCACATGCTTAGTTTGAAGTTTTATACTCCAGATGTTCTTGAGTTGCATGAAAACATTGCATTACTTATGCAAAAATACAAAATTTTCATGAGACTCAAAAATTTCTGAACGATAGAACTCAGACTTCAGTACATCCATACATCCTTGAGCTGAAAGTCAGCAGGGAATTTCAGCTCCAAACACATTTTTGAGACAATTATCTGTAAGTGAAAACAGGGTATTATAACAAAAGATGAGTTTAAATCTTAACTATAGTGTTTGTTACTGTGACTGCTATAATAATACATAAGTAAATGAGTGTAAATGTAATATTTTATTTTATACTGCTGTATACATATGAAATAAATAAAATTAGGATACATATTATGCCATTTTTCCATGCATGGGTCTTCCACTGACGCCTGTCGGAGCTTTGAATAAAAATCAGTGGCAAAATATGGCCCTAAGTTTAAAAACAACTAATGCTGATTTAGTAATTTTAGTCTTAATATAACAGGTCTAAGGGGACATCTGTTCAAAACTGAGTCTAGTTTGAAGCAACATATGCTAGGTTTAAAGGATTTCACTATATTTGTAATTTTGAAAGTAAGCATTTAGTTCCATATGATTTTCATGATACCCACAATGAATATTTTAAATATATATTTTTCCACCTTATGCTCTATTTTCTTTTCTTTTTTATTTGTAGTAATACCAAGGGTCTACAAAGATTAACATAGTGGTTGTATATGGGATATGAATGCCTTCAAACACTAAAAGAAAAAAAATTTATCTAAAATTTTAGAAATAAATTAATTCACATTTAAAATTGATGGATACAAAAGAAAAAATAAAATTCATATGGGTATCATTTTCCAAGAAGAAAATATGAATTAACTATAGCATAATTTTTTATAATGTAAAAATAATCTGAGTAAAATTTACAGAAATTTAATTTCTGAAATAGCAAAAAGGTAATAGAAGGAATTTCTTTATTCTCATATGTGGTTTGTATAACTGATTTTATTAAGTTCAGACTACACATATCTGGACATGGGTTCATTTTATGAAGCAATAGGAAGAGGACTAGGTATTTTTGTTGCTCTGAACATGTATAAAGCTAACCCTATCGTGGGAAAGAACTAAACAAAGTATACAGGAATGATAGTTGCCAATGAAATGTTAACTGCAAGTTACTTGGTTCCCCTAGATCTGTAACTCTTATCATTGACTTTTCCCCTTTCTGAGAATCAATCATGGATTCTGCTACTTAACCAAGATTATGAATGTTTGGAGGTAAAAGCTACATTTTATTAGATTACAAATAAGTATCACAGCCCAAAAATAAGGGGAGATAATAATGCATGGTAATAACTACCTTCAGTAAAATTCTAGTTTGCTTTGGGAAACAAAGAAATTATAGGGGAATATTAAATAATTAAATGATCATAATTTGTGGTCAAAATCCAACAGCTGGTGGCAAGAGTAATTCAATGTATTAATGCAATAACATAAAAACAAAAGTAAATAAATAGAATAGGAAACAAGTAGAATAGAAAAGTATGAATACACATCATTTATGGTAAAAGCAAACACTTCTTTGTGGAACATTTTTTCAGATACATGTGTGAAATAGGTCACAACGTGAAATATATTTCTTATTATGAATCATTGCCAAAATGCTTGAAAATCCCTGTACCACATGACTTGTATTTAAAATGTAAACTTATTCAATGCTGTTGAAAGTCAGGGAAGATATTTTCAAAAAGTTACTTCACATTTGAATCTCTCTAATTTTTACCTTTGTAAAATATAGAGGAATACATTTAGTTGTAGAAGTTTTGTGAGAATTAGGAGAACTGGTATATGTGAAATGTACAGCATAATGCTGATACACATTAAGTGGTATATTTTATCATTAATATTATTTTTCATCACTTCATCATGATTCTTGGTTACCAGAAGTATGGAATATAGTCTTCAAATCAAAATAATTATTTTCTCAAAATTTCAGATTGTTTTCGAGCTGTCTTTAAACAGTGCAAATTTCAAATCCTCAAGATGAAAACAGACTTGCCTTTGGTATTCACCCATCAGCTCAGTTCATCATTGCCTCTCTATTGGTGGTATGGAGTTCAGGAAATAAAACTCACAATGTTGAGTTCCAGTCAAACTCCTTTTTTGCAATTCTCAAATAACCCTCTACTCCTACTATTGAAACATATATATGTATGATTGCACTAGGACAGATTTACCTGATTTTTTTCCCTTGATCCCAATGTGCTTTCTGAATATCTTTCTATTTCCATGCAAATAAATGTTTGGTGGAGTTACTGCATGTTTGACAGAATCATATTTTTTTGCAAATGACAAATTACAAAGGTAAATTTGGTCAGTGTTACCTAACAAAAATTCAACTCAGTAAATTTTAAGGATCTAATTGGCTTTATTGAATAATTGTTGAATTGGGCAGTATCCTGTCCAGCTAGTAAGTAGAAAGAATCTCTAAAGGGCTGCAGGAAGGAAAAGGTTTTTAAAGACAGGAAAAGGAAGTCATAAACAAACAAATATAAAGTATTATTTCCACCAAGGTCACTTCCCTTTCAATGACAAACATATTTTATTAGGTGGAGTATACCTTACTGGTGCAGATCAGGAAATTTCCCATTGACCTGTTAAGACAACAGTCCTGGGGGAGATTGAAACTGCAATTAGTCTAGGTATGAGGTCCTGGTTTGGTGACATGGGCCTAGCACAGGGGACTCCATTTTGGGCATGTGGTTTTCTTTTTTAACAATTGCCTACTTTTGATTAGACTCTCAGCCTGACTGACAGATGAAATCCAAACTTCATTTGTGCCACTCTCTGGTACTACTCACAGCTTTTATAGTTCATTTGCATCATATCCATAGGTCATGACTCTTTGCTTAACCCCTGTGGCATTCACAGATTCTGGGTTCATAATCCTTAAATCAGTTACTCTCTTCAATTCTTTTCTGTGTTCCAGTGTTAGAGAGACATTTTCTTGGTGTTCAGCAGCTGTGAATAAGTAAGGTTTTGAGAAGACTAGAATGCACCAGGGAGATTATTATGTTTACAATGAACAGGATAATTCCCAATGTTTGGAGTGCCCTTTGGACCCTTGGTGCCCAAGACCCAAACCAATCAAAGTCAAATAAGTCAAAGGAAGACCTTGCTGAAGGAGTCACCTTTTATAAGCCAAGTGGCTTGCTCAGTAATCTTAATGTAACTGAGTTTCAACTTCCCCAGAAGTGTTATTCACATGCAGCAGGTGGTACTGGCCACAGCACAAACTCCTGTTAGCTCAGCTAAAAAGATAATAAAAGTCTATCCTGTTGTCAAGAACAGCCTTGGCCAGAGAGTCTAAGGATATTTGGTTAGCTATTGTCACAGGAACGGATTTTGCAATATCTTTAAGAGTCCATGGATTTTGCATTATTTTTAAGAGTTTCTGGTCATATTCTCATTTATATTCACTTCTAACCAGGGAACTACGGCTCTTGCAAAGGAAATTAATCTTGGATCATGAATGTTTTCTGATAGGTCTCTTCTAACTCAACAATGTGAATCTGGGCGAACTGAACAATGAGATGCCTTAGTTTATTTGCGGGAAAGTTAGGGGCACAGTTAGATCACCAAAGAGGTATTGCTCAGCTATGTGCCAGCTATCTAGGCATTCATAGATTCAAGAAGAATGATAACACCACAGACAAATATGAACCCTATCAGGGCACAAACCATTCCTGTTCAGGAGGTACTGCTAAGGGACTCATTCACAGGGGTTAC